CCAGCTTCCAACCCCGATATACCAGCAGATTTTACAATATCTTCAAACAAACCATTATGCCATGGCAGAGGCCTGGGTCTGCGGATGGACTGATGCAAACAAACCAAAACAAAGAACGAGATCGTATAAACTGAATGCCAGCAAATGACCAGAAAATAATATTTTACTGCTCTTTCAAGTAAAGTAGGGGATCCTCAAAGTTCCAGGAAGAAGTCAGATGGTAAATCTCAAGCAATTGAAATTCGAGATATATATATTTAGTCTACTCAGTAATCAAGTTTTCCGCCAAATAATGCCAGCTAGTTCCGTGTGCAAGGTCATAGACCAGTTCTCAAGTTCAACATAGGAATTCACCTCCGCACGACGCCTTGAACTGAAATCTGACAGAAAACTCGTCTCAACGTGATACAAGAGTATTACAATGGTAGCCATCACAAGACAACTGAGATGCATCATAAACTCCCCCTCTTATATTTGATTGTGGCCAACTAGAGAAATCTTGATTAAACTTTTATCAATAAAGGCTGCTAACAAGGTCAGCCTCAAAATATTAGTGGATATTAAATTGGTGAAAGTTCTTAGGTTTTCAAATAAGCTCCTCGACATAAGATTCTAAGCAAAATTCCACCAAATATCCTGCTTCTGACATATGTTAATTGCAGAATCCTCAACAAAAACCAAGAAGATCAGATGAACAATCAGGTACTTAGAGCATTTTTCTGGAATATAACAGCCATATTTCCTTGCTGAGGAACTGTGGCCATCTCCCAGGACCAAATACTGTGGCAAAATCTCTAAAATTCATGCTTATAAGCCTTCCTGTGAATTAATTACAGCATAGGCAGATTGTCTATGTATTTCATAAGGCATCCACAATTTTGAGCTTGCCTTGGCAGTTGGAAAGGCTGACGATCGAACATTTACTCCAAGCGGATTTCTGCGAGTAGGCCCAAATCCACCAAATGGCCGTCCAGCTCTTGATGATCCTATTGGCCCTCTTCCACGACGGGACCTGCCTTGGCCTAGCTTATCATTATTTCTCCGGCTCTTCTTAATCACATCATCCAAAGCCATATCCAGAGATGCCATCGACAACAAAATTGCTGCAAGACTCCCCCAACTGAAGTAATCTGCACGAATAAAACATATAGATCTCGTTCTCAAATCAGAAAATTGAGTCACCAATAGACAAATAAGTAATCGATGTCAAATAGCAAAGGTATCCCAAACTGACAAGTATTTTCCAGAAATTTATCTAACCGAAGCAATAATACGTAGTCAGATCCAGTAACTTCATGCATCAAGAAAAGCAAACGCGAAAGACAGAAGAAAGTACTTGGCCAACCAAATCGCAGGACTTCAAAAACAACTCAGAAAAAGAAGGACCCTTTTCTTCTATCTGAAGATCTGGAACTCTAGCAACCCACACAAATTTTCTAATTCACAAGCTAACGTACACGTTTCTTCCTGATAATTCTGTACAATTTACCAACGAAACTAGAATCAAACGAGGCAACGATGGATCAAAAATCCTAATTTTTTCAACAAAAACAAGATTACGCAAACAGAAAACTCAACAAACTTTGTACGCGACATCCATAACAAGAGATCAGATGATATCCTGCAATAATTTAAATTTTATGAAAAGGGGAGAAAAATACCTAGATCAGATCGAAGAACAGGAACACAGGAGCTGAATCTTCACAAATCTTTACCAACGATTTGTTTTGAAGGAAGTTATTTTCCAGCGGAGTCTAGGGTTTCAGGTGATGAGGGACGAAAATATAAAGCGCAACAATAGTCGGCTATAAACCGGCATATGGGCTCGATGCTCGTCCCCTCGCAGTTCTGATGATGGGCTTCGATAAATAAAAAAATAAGCCCAAAGGTATGGCCTTTATTTGCCCCTATCATATTTGAGAAAATCACCCAATACCCAATATATATTGAGAAATTTACCCCCTCTACACTTCATTATAAAAATAATATCAATTTTACGAGAACATATTTTTTTCATCACAATTACGTACCGCTAATTAGTATAATTATATTTAAATAAGCCAATGTCAGTTTCTAAAAACAACCAACAAATATATAAATTAAAATCTTGCATGATTTTTGGGGAAACGTGCTAATCCAACACCTTTACACTCAACTGAAAAAAAAAACGAAAAAAAAAACAAATAAATCTCCCATTATCTCTGAAATCTTGGTTACAGAGTAAGAACTCCATCTATCACAAAAATTAAAAAAAAAAAAATCCTTCATCTATCACCAAAAAATTGATACGAACCCCTCAGAACAGCCATAGCCGCGAGCTTCAAGGCCACGCACTCCCCGCAACCTAGACGTAAGAGTCGCGACCCGCTTTCCGGTGACCACCCATCGTACCCGAGTAGTGCAATCGTCTGCGCGAGGAGCAGCAACGTCGTTCGTCCTCCGAGCAGCCCTTCCATGAGCTACCGATAGTTCTCTGAGCGAGTAGTCCGCCATCACTGGCCCACCCGAGTCGAGTTCCTTACAGCAGCCCCGTCCTCAATCAGTGAGTCGGTCGTAGTTCGACGTCACAACCTGACCGTTCGTTGCCGAGAAATTCGTTCACAGCAGCCAAGACCTGTCCACACTTTATATGTCGAGTCGTTCGTCCGTCCGTCCGTTTGTGTATTATGTTTTATCCCATTTTAGTGTTGTTTATATGTTGTTTATCTTATGTATAACTATACGATAAATATTAGAGAACTATCATATTATGTTTGTTTGATTGTTGTACATGTTTATATATTGTTTATCTTATGTATAACTATACGATTAATATTAGAGAAATGTCATATTATGTTTATTTGATTGTTGTTTATATGTAGTTTATCTTATATATAACTATACGATTAATATTAGAGAACTGCCTTTTATGTTTATTTGATGTATATGTATAGAATATATGAACATATATATAGAACAATCCTAAATTCTAGGTTTCAAATTTGTTATTTTTTTTTTCGATTTTCCTTTTTCCTTGCAGTTTTTCCAGCCGTAATTGAATTGAATACATGATTTTTAATTGGAAAGAGAAACAAATTTAGCTGCAATTGAATTAAATGCATGATATTTAATTGGAGAGAGAATGAAATCCTAATTGGAGAGAGAAATATGGAGAGAAATAAAGACTTACAAATTAATTGCGTATTTAATGGTTGGAGAGAGAAGAAGACATGCTGTGAGAAAATAAATCTCGTAATTGTGAAATAAAAAACACCACCAAGTCCTATTTTGATTGAACTCTCTCCAAATGGTATATATGATAATTTTTGTTATATAGAGTCTATGTATGTAAATTTCCCATATATATTGAGATCTATTTTTAAATTTATGAAGTTTTCTTCTTTATTAATAAGCACATATAAAATAGTCAGCATACTTTTGTGTTATTAGCATGGTTGTCAAAATTAGACGAACCGACCAGTTGGGCTACGAACGAGTCATTTGACGAGTTGGTAGTTCGTTTGCTGGAATGAATTGGTTGTCAGCAAATCGGTCAGAACCGGCTAAAAAGTGTCGGTCGGACCGGTTTGAACCACTCCATTTCTTTAAAAGATTATTATTATTTTAATGTAAATAAGAAATAGATATTTAAATAGAGTGTATGTAGGTAAGTTAAGTATTAGTTAGTTTAAGTATTTAAATATTTTGAATTAGCTAAATAATGATTTAACATTGTTTATAATATTACGTTTCTCATATAGAATATTATAGAAATTTTAAAATATTAATAAATTAAATATCAGTCCAACCAGTTCAACTACTAGTCCGACCAGTGAACAATTATACTTGTAGTTTGATTGGTTCGATGACCGACTCAATTTTGAGAACCCTTATTATTAGCATGGTTTTAAAATTGGAGCAATCGTTCGAACCAATAAATATATAGGTTCAATGATTTATTAGTTGGATCAACAGTTGAATCGATATTTATTTATTCATTGATTTTTTTTAAATATAATATAGACTTATAAATTATGAATTTTATATAGATAAATATCCTTAACTAAATATGTAGATAGTCTAAAGTATAAATACCCAAATTAGTTTATATATATTTACATGTCTAAAATTTATAAATATGTATTTTTATATTAAAATTATTTTTCTTATAAAAAACTAAAAATTCAAACTGGTCCGACTGGTCAAAGACTAGTTCTTTGGCAGGTGGTTTTGGAGGTAGGGACCACACCTGTTAGGTGTTTGTTTTGAGTTCAGTTGGTTGAACCAACTGGTTCGGTCCGCTTTATAAGCATTGGGTGTTAGTCGAGCATTTTGTGCTCGGGTTGTACTCATTTATTAAATGAGGTGGTTCGATTGAGTTGGGTATTAAAGGCGTGCCTCGTCTAATCTAGATTGGCTCGATTAAACTCATTTAACAATTTTAAAATTGTAATCGAGTTGTTCGCAAATACAATTACTACGTTTGCGAACATGTTTTGCTCTAATATTGTTCAATATATAATAAACCAGTTATTTAAGAGCAAGCTTGGTTCGACTCATCTAATGGAAGGCATGCCTCAATTAAGCAAACAAACAAACTGAACTCGAGCTTTTATGAGCCGATCGGACTGTATTCGCGAACTAGTGGTACAAGTATCGGTTGAGTTCGTCCGGGCAAGTACAAGTTGAGTCCGTCCCAATCAAGCACACTTTGAAGATTACAACAGCACATCAAATTCAACCGCACAGTTTCTAAATTCACTATACGCAAACACGCCACAAGCACAACAAATTCACAGAGGCAATATGTCATTGTTGCTAGCATAGCATCCACATGAAACCAAACCACGAAACATTATCTCTGCTATTTGATGATGTCGATACATAGAGAGCAAGAGCCAAGTAAAATTCATAAAGGCAATATGTCATTGTTGCTCCACATGAAACCAAACCGCGAAACATTATTTCTTTCTACTATTCGACTATGTTGATACAAAAAGATCAAGGGCACACATAGGTCCATTGATTAGTTAACTTACGATCCTAAGTGCAATTACTTTGGGGACTCCCAATATCTACATACTGAAAAATGTGGGCTTCCTCCTAATCTGGCCCACCATCATCATCGTCTTCCTTGTCGTCTAATTGAGATTGTGTTAAGGTTTGGTTCAACATGAATTTCCAGCTGTCCTCTTCCCCAATTTCCCACTGTTTTTTCAGTTCGTTTATGGTTCTGCTTGCAGCTGCGGCTATTGCTGGATTGCTATCCTCAGCTAGCCTCTGCAAGCCGAAAATTATATACAGTACATATATAATAACAAAATAATACAAGTCGACTTTCAACATTTACAAATATTCAAAAGACATTTGCTTTGACTAAAATGTAAGGTGCAATTTGTACCTGAAGGGCACCCATGCCGGCATTTCCGAGTGTCCACATGGAGGGGGCAGCTGATAAAGCATTAGCCAATGCCCTCCTGCGCTTGTTTCACAATGATACATAATTAAAAAAAAAAAGGAAAATGGAAATTAATGAGAGGGCAAAAGAAAATGAGAGCCAAAATGATATCGGTGTTTCACACGCTGAAATCCTATCTCCAAAATAAAGTTGAATGCAAAGCTTACGAGAGCTAATAGATTAAAAACCTGGTGCTGACATCAGGGGAACTCGAACACTCGGCCAATAGAGACACACTACTTTTACCATCCATTGCATCGAGATCAATAAGAGCTGCCACCAGTAACTCCAGCTATACTCCAGAATAATGGTAAATAATTAGTTACGGAAGCATCAAAACTATAATTAAGTGACAATATCCGAACATATGTGTTGATTTGACTCGAACCTCTTCAGGATCAGTATAATCAATTCCGTCAGCTTCTGAAAGTGCAGAAGCTATACTCCAATAAGCTTCCTATAATGTTGATTAAATAAAAGGAAAAAAAAAAAGAAACATGTTTAACAGGATGATTTCTCATTAGATTTAAAATCCAACAGCAATTAACAAACCTGAATGGCATTAATGCGGTCTGTTGATACTTCTCCAGGGAAAAAGCCGAGAGTTTTCCCATTCTTTTCAAGTGTTATACGGCTTGCTACCTCGACGTTGTTTCGAGAAACTTTTCTCCTGCGCAAATGAATGACTTTCCAGTCAGGAGATGAATAATCTTAGTTACTTGAGTTGCGAGGAAGATAAATATGCCGTGTGTAGAAACTTACAATCTGCACATTTTAGTCACCATCATGTCGTGAATGTTTTTAACAAACTGCAACTCCAACAAACAGAAATCTGAATTTCAGATAATGAAATTAAATAATTTTTCATGAAGCAACAATTGGTTTAAGACGAGAAGGAGAAAATGAAAATAATTTTTCCTGGACATCACTGTAGGAGAAAATGTTTTCTCTTATCAATTGAAGCAAAATAAAAAAGACTTGTCCGACAATCAATACCTCCAAAGCCATAAGGGAGTCTTCCATTGCACGTTGCTTAGCAACAAAGTCGGCTCTCTTCAAATCTGCCTGCATGAATAAAATAGAGTTATATTTCCTCTAGGACCTCGAAGAATGAATAGAAAACTCTAACAAAATATATATAGGAAAAACAAGAAGTAACCGCAGTCCACTGGCCAATCCATAAACAAAATGAGATTTGCGAATCATATACACAGTGATTGAGATGAGATTCCCATCCAATATCTCTTGACATGTGTTTAATAAATTTATATGCAATGGAGCAGCTCAGCTCACCAGAATGAAGTGTGTACATCCAACACTATTTCACTAAACCTCACTAAAATTAAGCTACTTAAATAACATTCAGCTATAATAGTAAGAAAGAAGAAAAAAAAAAAATGAAAATCTTGAACAAGTTGGATCAACAAATTCTAAGTTGCAAAACTCATTTTGTACACCAGTGAGGGGGAAGATGTTGGTATGCCAGATGCTCATATCCTCACAAAAAAAAAAAAGGGAAACTTACTAGAGGTGAATCTCAACATTTCTAACGATTGCATTATGATTCTAATTCTAGATAGTGACAGTTGGAGAGTGCGGGAAAATTGGCAACATGTGAACAAGGATGACAGCACTAACTAAAGAAAGCATGTTTTTTGGATGACACAAGTGTCAAAATGACAAATCAGAGCTCGACAAACAAGAAAAAGGAAGTCAATATGATACAAGTAATTGAGCCCAAGTAATGGATAGCGCCACAATAGTTACTTACTAAGGTTTGGTAGCAATAAATATAATCACAGAAATTTATACAAGACCCTAGAGCAACATCCTCACCTCCAATGCACCATTATTCCAGTGTTTGTCAGCAGCACTTTTCAATCTGGATTGAGCTATGTTCTTCAATATCTGTCAAAAAAACCAAGCACAATTGGAAAAGAGACTAAACATTTCTTAGATTTGTATTAGCAACAAGTTAAAAAATAAAAGAAAAGAAAGAAGAAAAAGAGTAGCAGTCCTTTACAGTTGCAACATGATGAAGCCTTTCAGCTTTTCTCTTTACATTATGATCGACCTTTACAGTATCTTCCTTGGCTCGTGCTACCAGACAACCAGGTCAAGAAAAAAAAAAAAAAAGACTTACTTTAATAGATCAAATTAATTGAGCACATCACAACGTACAATCTTCTTGGTCACCTCTCATGAAATCTATAAAATACTAGCATCAATCAATTGACTGAATTGATATGAGATAGATGCTTGCATGAAGATTTAAATAGTAGACGTAGATACATATCTTTAAGAAAATGATCAAAAGCAGGTGTCAATATAATGTCATGTTCCATATGAAACTAAGCATACTTTCAGACACAAATTAGCAATCATGAAATTTTACCGGAATAGCAGTTTGTAATGTTCAGAAACTTGAGTTTTAGGTCTATTTACTACAGCCTCAATAGTGTGGCCAAAAAATCCTTACCATCAAGCTTGAGAAACTCAGAGCCAAGAAAAGCAACATCTTGCCTTGCACGGGCGTCCAATTTCATAATGCCTCTAGATGGAAAGTACGGATGAATATAGGATAAGGTAACATGCTAAAATTACATTATTTAAGG